TGGAAACATACAACCGATTCAAAAACATATTTTCTGACAACGATTATAGATTCCCGGGAATGAAGATAGTTCTGCACTAGACCAAACTAGACTTTGCGAATGATATCCATATGTATTATGTATTCGAACAGCGAATTTTTTTCACTTAAACATAAATTTTAAAACAAATCACCCTGCGTTTAGCGGTCTTTAGTTCAAAAATCGGTCCGACAATTAGATTGATGAATAGATATTTTTATATAGTTTTATAACATTTTCAATTATTTTTTGCGATTTACTATCTGTTATATATGTTATAGAAGTATTTTTTACAGTACGTCTGCTGGATCTGTGTCTACGAAAGGAATGCGGACAAAAAACATTTAAATAAACAACAATATATTTATACGTCTACTTGACGAGTACGTCACCGCAAATCGCTCCGCCCACTCATTTTATTGGCTACTTGCAAATTTGTCGAATTTTTATTGATGAGACGCGTCGTAATTTTTTACAAAAAACATCGAGAGAATATCGTTTCCCCTCTCACGGATACCCCGTAGCTATAGAACGGACAGACGTACTGTATAGGTTTCTAGGACACATTTTTATAACCTTTACAGTAATTTTTTGATTTATAATAAAGTTTCAATAAAATATTTTTTTTATTTAAATCACATGATTAAACTTAAAAAAATCACTTGATTTAAATCATGATTTAAATCATTTGATTTAAATCATGCCAACCCTGTCTAGAACACAATATATATAAAACTTTAAAATACATGAAAATTTTAAGGTTTGTTTTCTATACCGGTGAGTCAGTGGCGGCTCGTCAGGTGCAGTAGGTGAAGGGGCACTTCACCGAAAAAAATACTCAAATTAAAGAAAAAACTTTACTGCTTAAAATATTAATTTAGTTTAATATATTTACATGTATCTAACTAATAAAATGGTAATTTTTTATAAATTATATTTTTTTCGGGCGGACCTCTGCATAATAGGTCCACCGCATCGTTAATTCCGGCCGAAAAAGTAGCATTATTGGCCCGCACGCGCCTATATGTTTCCTGTGTTTCCACGAAGCCACAAGTGAAGTGAAAATATTTGTCAGCCAAGCGGCTGCACGGTTTCCATGGTAACATGACGTCAGCCTAGCGACAGCAGAGGCGGCAGTATGTAAATCCCCCGCACCGAAATGTTTTATCGGCGACCGATGTGAATGAGTTTTTGGGCAGTTCGCTTCGTCTTCCTTTATGCTAATATTCGGCTACTTCGGCGAGTAATTAACCGTGTAAAGACTGTAAAGTTGTTGTTGATTATTTACTGTTGTTTGTTAATGGTTTTTGTTGATTTAACTTGTTAATTTTTGCTGTTTGTTTTGTTGTTGTGTTTTAAAACTGTTTTGTGTGTGTGTATGTGTTAAAAAATGAACCCAATTAACGACTTGGTGTGCGATATATTGGAAACTCCCTTCAGACGGTGGACAGATGAAGATAAGAGGGATGTTTTATCTCAAGGACGACCAACTAAATCTTTAACCATAAATTGCAAAAAAGAAATAAGAAAAAGTAGTAAATCTTATAATATTAAATTTAAGTCTTTCTGGTTTTCTGATTTTAATTGGCTATGCAGTAACATTGTTTTACAAAAATTATTTTGTTCAGGGGTTCACTGATTTCGTAAATATAACAAGATCTTTGCCTAAACACGGAGATTCTGCAGAACATTTAAAATGTCAGTTAATGCTAAGAAATTTTTAAAAAATCAAAATACAATTGCCGATGCTTTAGGAAAAAAAGCGCTAGACTCTATAAGCTTAATTTTAATGAAAATGTTCGTTTAAATAGACTTTGTTTACGGGAAGTTATTCAAGCAGTCTTATATATGTAAGCAAGGATTGACTCAGTGAACAGATGGAATTTTAAGAAGTTATTAAAGATACTAGCGTGTACCAGCGACTCCGTTAGCGTCGAACTAATCATTTGTAATGGTGATGATACAGCAAAGCAAGAATTTCCGTTAACATACAAACTGGATAAAATTTTCTCACATTTATGTCAGCATGAGAAAAAACAATGGCGATATTATTATATAACTTGGTAATATTTGAGGGGTAGTTTCATCCCGTTGGAATTTGACGTTCGAAAAATCCGATTGCCAAAAATAAGCTTTTACGTCAAGCAGTTTAAGCAGAATCGTGGTTAAGAAATTACCCAACTTTTTGGAACACCCTGTATGATTTTTTAAAAAATTTCCAAATATGTAAAAAAATCAAATAAATTATGCTTGTCCAAGCGTTTTCCCGAAAGACTAACCGTTTTTTAAATAACAAATATTGTAATATTTGAGGGGCGTTTTCACCCTCTTGGAATTTGAGATTCGAGAAACCCCTCCTTATCGAACCTCTACACCCCACAGTCCATCCGTTTGCCAAAAATCAGCTTTAAACGTCAAGCAGTTTAAGCAGAATCGTGATTACTCAATGGTCATATTTTATGAAACACCCTGCATAAATTTATAAAAAATCTTAAAATATGTAAAACAACCAAATAAAATATACGTGCTTAAGAGTTTTTCCGAAAAACTCACCGGTTTTTAAATAAAAAATATTTTAATATTTGAGGGTTAGTTTCACCCCCTTAGAATTCGAGTTTCGAAAAATCCCTTCTTGTCGAACCTCTACACCCTAAAGTCAATCTGTTTTCCAAAAATCAGCTTTTTACGTCAAGCGCTTTAAGCAGGATCGTAATTAATCAATGACCAGATTTTTTGAAACACCCTGTATACATTTTTAAAAAATCTTAAAATATGTAAAAAAGCAAAATAAAATATACGTGTTTAAGCGTTTTTTCGGAAACTTGACCGTTTTTTAAATAAAAAATATTGTAATATTTGAGGGGTGGTTTCACCCTCTTGGAACTGGAATTTCGAAAAATCGCTTCTTATCGAACCTCTACACCCTAGAATCAACCTGTATGCCAAAATTGAGCTTCTTACGTTGAGTGGTTTGAGCAGGATCGTGATTAATCGGTATGTCAGTCACTTAAGGATTTTATATATTAGTATAGATTAATTGAAATAAACCCTTTGGAAATTAAACAACATTATAAAAAAATTAAAAACATTTTTAGTGGAAATTCGAGAACCATTCAGAACGAAATTTTTTAAAACTCTAATATAAAAAAAAAGGTCCATATATATAGATCTAACTTTATGGTGGACACTGTATATAATGTTTATTATATTTAATTTAAATTTAATTATATTTTCACTGGAATGCAAAATAATGTGCTTATCGAAAACTGGTTGTATCTCTTTTTACTTAATGCGTTTTAGCCCAAACTAAAAGGAAAATATTATAGGTACTTATTAGTGTATAAATAATAACAAAAAAAATGTTGACAAAATGGTGAATACACCAAAAATGTTTAAATAATAATTTAAAAAATGTTGACAAAATGGTGAATGCGCCAAAAAAATTTAAAACAAAATTAACTCTTCACTTATTTTTATACCCACGAGCCGCCACTGCGGTGAGTGTAAGAAATATACAACTTTAGTTTGAAAATATATTTGAAACTCCCTGTATGTTGACAAAAATATTTTTAGAATTTGCGTTACCATTGCCTCCGTATTATTATGTAAAAAAACTGAAATGAAAATTGCAAACTAAAAACCTGATATAGAGCTTTTTCGGAAGCCTGACCAAGACCAAGAACTTAAGAAAGACTTGAGATGGAAATAAGGCCGTTTTTTAGCAATAGAGGATACCTATACCAGTTTGCAGTATCTTTATTTATGTCCAACTGATTTTTCAATAAGGACAGCTTTATAGTTGATGCGTTGTTTTACAATGTCATTGTACAGAGCAAAATAAGTTAGGTCCTCCTGTTTCTTTCATTTTTAGTTCTATTAACTTTATTATAATACTACAAAGAAATAACTTAAACTAAAAACTGTATATGTATTCCCCTTGTATGATATTATAAACAAGGGTATTTACTTACCTACTATGTATATTCCACAATGAGCAGACACGAACAGAGTATTTCCTTTGAGCAAGTCAAGAAAACCGACAAGCTGCGACTTGAGGTTGAGTTCTTGTAAGTGCGTCTCGAATGATGCCAAAGATGACCAATGGTCAGTTTCAGCAAGATGTCCACATCTGAGCATACGTGTGGGCTCAGCCTATGTCGGTCGTGTGCTCAGATAATATCGCACTCCATAATCGCACTATTCGCACTTAAAAACGGTAAAAAAGATACAGAATGGCTGTCCCGCACAGTAAGGTAGTATGATTTCAGTCAATCTAGTCAGATCTAGTGTGTGTTAATAAATAAAAAGTGTCTTGAAAATGTAATACCCAAGCTGTGGTATGTTTACCTACTGATGAAGCAATTACTTTTTAGACGGCTTAGAAGGGTTTTGACTTTTTTTTTGTCTAAAAACATTAATTAACTTTGAATTTATGAGTCCAACAACCTCAAGCACACCTCAAGTTAGATTTTACAGCGGCAAATATATGTAATTTATTTATGCAAATATTTTCTTTTAACTTATTTAAAATAGTAATATACGGTAACAGGCATATAGTACGAACATTTATAGGTTTAAGTTCGACGTATTTACTTTCGAGGTAAGCTGATATGGCAAAAAAGTATCACAAAATTATTGGCGAACATTATATCATTTAAATTAATTAATGGAGCGAAACCAATTTAAGTAAAAACAATGCTTATTTCTCTTATACCTTTTTAGTAGTTTGGAATATACCTATTAAGAACTATTGTATTGAATTTGAATTTATTTCTCATAACTTTAAATTTCATTGAATTTTAAACTTTCTAAACAATAATTTCTTACCAGTAGTCTGAGTAGAACTCCTTCTTGCGGCAACCCGTTAAACACTATTTATAGTTCCACCACAAGAGGTCAGCACAAATCGTAGGTTTTTTAATTTTGACAGAAAGTTTATTTTACTATCTGTCTTTCTGTCTTTTTGACAGTACTATATTTATTCCCGCGCACCGTAAAATGCCGAGAAATGTTTATAATATTTAATTAACACGTTTGCATTATATTCTTGTATTTAAACAAACTGGTCGTAGGTAGTATATTATAGTATTGCATTTCCATCGATGTGTAATTTAGAGTTTTTTGTGTTTATTGTATACATTTACAGGAGTAAACAATGAGTGACCAAATTACAAGTAATTTAGAAACTGTATTAAATAATTTGGATGAAAAATTGTACATAAACAACCAAATCAGTATATCAGAATACAAAACTCAGTATAAACTTCTGAGGGATAGTTTTTGCACTAGTGGATACTTTAATGATGAAGGTGGCAAGAAACTGCTGAGTTTATTAATTGAAAATAATATACATAGTATTCACAAGGACCTTATTGCTATCTTGGATGGAAACATTGATAAGAGACTCGAAAGGGATGTTTTATGTGGTATAAAAAAGTATCTAATTAAATTAATAACATCGAACAACTTCACTGGGATTTCTGCATTATATGAGTTGTGGAAACAACATGATCTAGAAAAGGTAGATTGATATGTTTTATATTAAAAAAAAAATTACATGTGTTTTGTAGTTTAAAACAATTTTATCAAGTTTAAAAAATGAGGATGAATGTGTGTCTAACAATTGTACAGAATTTTTAATTGAAGATTTCTTACCTCATCTAATCTATTGTCAGCATAACGAATTAAGGCAGTCTCTTGTTCAATTTGCCTTACTGTTTATTGAACTTTTTCCAATATCTTGTTTGAAGCCCGAAGGATACAAATCGTTTTTATCCAAATTACCAAGGTAATATAACCTTACTCTGGTCAATTTGCTGACAATTAAGTATTTAATATTGCAGTTTTTTTTCGACTGTAGTAGAACTGCAGGAAAAAGGTGAAGAAGTATGGAGAGATATATTTCATTTTTTGTTAAAATATTTAGACCATAAATTTACAAATTCCGAAGTCCAAGAAATTTTTCATAATTCTCCATTAAACTGGAACATACTTCGAAAAGAACTAGATGATAATTTAACATCTGAATGCTTAAAACATATATCTGAATGTAATATCGATGAATTAACCAGGGTATATGCTGATTGGAAGAATTTAGATCCACAAAAGGTATAAAATTTATTTAGTTTAAACAAACTATAATGCTGTTTGTAGTTTTCAGATGCGCTAAAGATTTTATGTAATGATCCTATAACAAATGCACAGACTAAAATTTTTCTGTTTGAAAAACTAATTCCTATTATGATGGATACCACAAATGTTAATGATGCCTTGAAAATACATCATATTGATCTTGGGCTCGAGTTTGCATTGGCTTTTCAAATTACACAATTGAATAATGAAGAATTCGGAAATTTTTTGAAGAAAGTAAATGAGTAAGTGAAATTAAATATTTTTAGGTAGATATTTGTAGACTTAAGTGAATATTTTTTGCTACAATTTTATTTTAAGTGAGTAAACAAAGTTGCATCAACTTTGTAAAGCTAGAGAATATTTTTTCTCCATTTTTGGAAGGAAACAAGTTATATTTAATGTACCTTTTCTAGCATAAGTCTATTTTTAATCATACTATTCAAAACGTATGATGAAATTATTGGGCAAAAGTGAAGTAGAAATAATAAAAAAAGTATTTATAGTTAACGTCACGTTTTTGCTTCTAAGGCCAATCTGGATGGGGCCTACTTTGGCTCTGCGGAATCCGAAACCGCGGTACTCGGCCTTACTCTGGCCTTTTTTTGTCACTGGCCTACCCTGGTTTTTTTTTGGGAAGTTTGGTATTTTTTTATTTTAATTTTGTGGAATAAACTGTACGCACCATTGTCAAAAACAATGAAAAAAAATTACTACTCAAGTGCTTAAAAAGGAGCATAGAAGCACATGTTTTTTTTTACTATAGAAACCTACAATTATGTGACGTTTAAAAAAGAAAATGTAGATGTTATTGTTTATTATAAGTTAATATAAATATTATTAATAATTAATATAATTTATTTATAACAATAGTATTCTAAGAAATAAAACAAATTCTGTGGTCTTAACTGTTGCTTCTTTGGGAAAGTATGTAACTTATAAGATTAACACTTACATATTTGAACCTCGTTATAGACCATTCCAGAACACGTAACTTTGACAGATCCGCCATTTTCACTGGGAGGCATACAAACCGTATATAAACCATTCTTTTGCCTTTTTTTGTGTTTTTAATTTGGCTGTACTTAAACTGCCGTTAAACGGTAGCTTACTAAAATGCCGTTAATAGGTATGATGTCGTTGATGTGACGCACTTGACGGCTTTATGAAATATTGGAATTTTATAAGGACTAACCAATGCTATCCACCCCACCAAATCACCAACTTAACCAACGCAACTAACCTCGACACTGATAAAAAATATAAAAAACAAATATAAATTAGTAAAAATCAACCAACCCCACCAAATAACCAACTAACCAATGAATTAACACCCTCCATATAACCACGCTAACCAACCCGCCAAATAACTAAACCAATCCAACCAAAAAGAGTGAAACCAATGCAATAAGTTGATGCTATAAGCAAAAAAAAATATAAAAAAGTCTTGGTCGGCGTGAGATTTGAACCACGGACCATTCGCTTACGAAGCGATAGCCTCAGCCACAGACCCACAGGTGCTCTTGCAAAATGCTTAAGGCTAGGCATTACTTTCCGCCGACATGAACGACGTCGCAATATCTATTAACGGCATTTTAGTAGGCTACCGTTTAACGGTTGTTTAAGTACATCATTTTAATTTTGGTTGTAATTTTTAATTTTGGTTGGTGTCAAATACGTTTAAATTTCCTATACCGCGGCCTCCCCATAAGATAAATGAGAGAATTTATGTCCCAGTATTGAAGGAGGACAGAAAATCGAGTCGAATGGTTTCAAGACATAGGTTCATCCTTGTTTAGTCAAACCTCCTACCATACAAGGATAGACTTATGTAGGAAATGCATTGAAATTCTATAGCCATCCTTTAACATCGGGACAGGAATTTAAGCGGTACCCTCCGTATATGTAATTTAAACGTATTTGGTTGGTGTATTTTCCGCCGGTGCTGCCACCATCGGAGAATAGCGTAAACAGCCGACTAAATAAATACACGAGTTTAAATGGCGAGTACATGAAAAATTAGTTATAATAATATTTGAAATGTATTAGTAAGTGCAATTTGTGAAAGTTCTAAAGAAAATTAAAAATGTAAATCTTTGGAATAGGTACTCAAGTTAATAAAACTATTTAGATTAGTAATAGCACGCCGACTGCTTCAACTACGGTATCTATCATAGTTTTGTGCACCGGTTTTGCTAGTTGGGCCATAACTAGGGCTATCTCAACATAATAATGATGTTTCTTCGTCTTGGTTATTTTTTACGAATTCGAATACGTGTGCGTTATACTTTTGCTTGTGAGTTTGTGTGGAGTAAATCGGAAATTTTAATTAATTTTATATTTATAAAATAATGTTCAAAGATTATACCACTGCAATGAAATAACAGGAAACAACGAATCAACAGGAACATAAAAGAGAGGATAGGTAAGTGAGTTAGTGAGTATACAGTTGAAACAACACTTAACAACAATTACTGGATTCTGATTCTCCAGTTCAAGAATAATAAATATTATTATTGCAAATTGCAAACAAAAATTATAGGGTTGTGAATTTCATAACATTCTAAACAAAAACAAAAAACCGATCGATACACGCACGCTTGACACTTGACAGTCCCGAAAACAATCCACAAAGCGTTCCAACGTTGATACTTTTTGCACCGTCACGAAACTATTCGAAGTTCGCGCATTCTAACAGAGTGCAAGAAAACTGATTCGAGTACGATTTCGAAACGATTCCGAAATGCTGGTTGGAACAAACCTTATGTTCTCCTTTTCGTGTTAGTATTTTTTCGGCAATTTTATTATCATTTGAAATTGGCAACATAACGCGTCGTCCAGTTTGGGTTCTTTTTTACCTAATTTTTACTACCCGAAACAGCGTTACATCACACAAACTTCGTACCTGGGAATTATACAGGGTCCGGCAATAGTGCGTCGGGCATCTGTAGCTCTTAGAATAAAAAACTTGGAACTTTTGTTTCAGCGTAAACCTTAGTATATACAAGGATGTATTTCAGGAAAATAATTAAACTTCTATAGGGTGGCGCAAAAAAGTGTGAGTGGATCTGGATTATTTTTTTAAACGGAACACCCTGTATATTACTGCATTGTTGGCTTCCTTTCAGATCACTTTACATAATCCTAAAATATGAATAAATATATTTTGATAGTTTCAGAGATATTAATAAATAAATTAAAAAAAATTATATTTTTTAACCTGCATTAAAAAAAAATATTACAAATACAAGAACTCTTCTGAAATAAAAAACTATATTAGGTTTTTACTTTAGATGGTATATATTTAACTTTGCTATAAATATCGTAATCTTAAATCATACAGGAGGTTCAAAATTCTACGCCAAACTTTCTAAAATATAAAATAATTTTTCTTTGTTTTTTTTTTTAAATGGAACACTCTGTATATTATTTTTTATTAGATGGAAAATTAAAAACTGAACATTTTTTGTGTTTAACACATTTCAAAATTTTTAATGGTTTTGCAGATACACGCAGTATTAATCCATATGGCTTTCAACGGTAAAATACGAGAGAAAAAAATTATTGGGTGGCTTTGATAAAAATTTACAAAGGAAAATGCCATATGAAATATAAAACGGCGAATATCTGCGAAACCGTTAAAAATTTTGAAATACTCTTAATACAAAAATTTTTTATTTTTAATTCTCCATCTATTGAAGAAATATTATACAAGGTGTTCCATTTAAAGAAACGAAGAAAAATTATTTTATATTTTAGAAAGTTTGGCGTAACATTTTGAACATCCTGTATGATATACTATTACCATATTTATAGAAAGGTAAGTACAGACCATCTAAAGTAAATATCTAGTATAGTTTTGATTCCAGGGAGTTCTTGTATTTTAATATTTTTTTATTAAAGACTGAAAATATATATTTTTTATTTATTTATTAATATCTCTGAAACTATCGAAATATATTTACTCATATCTTAGGATTATATAAAGTGATCTGAAAAGAAGCCAAAATGCAATAATATACAGGGTGTTCCATTTAAAAAATCATCACACCCTATAGAAGTGAAAATAGTTTCCTGGAATGCATCCTAGAACATACTTTAGATTTGCACTTGAAACACAATTTTAAGTTTCTCATTCTAGGAGCTACATATGCCCGACGCACTAATGCCGGACCCTGTATAGTTTCAATCACTGCACTAGTAAAAACTAAAATACTTAAAAAATGTCAAAAAAAGGCCACGATTTTAATAATATTTCAATGCGATCAACATGAATGGTAACGGGACTGCGTGAAATACTTTAGTCGGTTACTTCTAATTCCTGCCGTATCGAGCGCTGCGGTCGGAATTTTTTAAATCAAATGAAATGCTCCAATCCTATACGCGATTTTGTATTGAACGCATCTTTTGTTGACAAAAATACAGTAATTTGCTCATTTTAGCTACATCAAAAATATATCAGATTTAAGAGACAGTCAGTTCAGTCACTGGGAAAAACTCTGGATGTTTCTGGTGAGATTGTTTGGGAAAAAACTACATCATTCTATGAGTTTAATTAATAAACTACTAAGAGTCGTGGAACATGCTTTTAGAAATTCCACCTTTGAACAAAGACTAAAAGGGTATGACTGCTGGAAAGTAGGTTACATATTTAACAAGAAAAATTATAAAATAACTATCAAAATGATATATTTCAGGAACTTATAGATAACGGAAGTTTAGATGCTGTCTACCTAAGTAGCGACAAACAAATACGATTGTTACTAACGCCTCTGCGTGCCAAATTCTCTAAACAGGAAGCTGTCATAATTAAAAGATTCGATGTGTTTATTTATCTCATACAGAAACTGCAAGACAAAGGCATACTAGTACTGAAGGAGTTTCTCGAATTTTGTTTCGGGGATGTCAGTGAAGATACTGACCCGCACAAATCTGGTCAAGGAAGAAGTTTTTCGGGATTATGGTTGAGGAGTGCCAAAGCCTTCCTAGCGATCCTTGGTAATTAACAATATTTATTGTTTTGTAAGTGCATGGTCATTTAATACAGTCACCGGCAAAAAAAACCGGCCACTAAAAACTAGTCCCAATTTCAAAGTTGGATTTCTCGCGAACCACTCATTAGATTTTGATGATTTTTTTTTAAATTGTAAATTAATTCCTTCTTAACGGATGCTACGTCAGCAATTTTTATTCCGAATTTATTTTGAGCATATACAGAGCACAACAATAAGACGAAGTTTTTTGCCCAAACTTTGTAACACCCTGTAGGGTGCAGCAGCTCTGATAGCTATTGCTAAATCAAATGATATTGTAGCCTCATCTTTTGTGAGTGTTTTGTTTTTTTAATCAAGACATTATCTCTGTTTGTATTGGAGATAAGCTGCTTTAAAACAAACGCCTCGAAAAAAGCTTTAAAAACAAATCAAACATCAAAACGTAGGTAAGTTTAACTTGAAAATAACTAAAACATGAAAATTAAAAAAAAAAGATAAAAAAATTAAGGGACTAATATCTAGTGTCCACTCGCCTGGTGAAATTTCCCGTTTCCATATTTCGATTCCAGGCATCTTGGACTGTTGTTCGAAATATACCCAGGGTATCGGAGACATAATGTTGACTTTGGCCATCCTCAATTAAAGCCACAATACGAGCAACATCCGTTACAGATAATGGCATTTTTTAATTTGACAACCGTTGCCTTGATTACTTATACATAAAACTTTCTGCCTGCGAAGCATTTTTCCGAGACATTCGTTTTAAAGTAGCGTATCTCCAATACAAACAGAGATAATGTCGTGATTAAAAAAACAAAATGCTCACAAAAGATGAAGCTACAATGTGATTGGATTTAGCAATAGCTACTACAACTGCTGCACCCTACAGGGTGTTACAAAGTTCGGCCAAAAAACTTCGTTATATTGTTGTGCCCTGTATATGCTCAACATAATTCGGAATAAAAATTTCTGACGTAGAATCCCTTAAAAAGGAATTAATTTACAATTTAAAAAAAAATCATCAAAATCTAATGAGCGGTTCGCGAGAAATCCAACTTTGAAATTGAGTCTAGTTTTTAGTGGCCGGTGAGTTTATACAGGAAAATCAATAAAAGTTTGCGTCATAAAAATATTTGACGAATGCACGTCACAATGTTGCCACGGCTACTTTTTTTACTTTCTGACAGAAGTTGCAAGTTGGTTGAGCTTGCAACGTTGCAACGCGAATTATATTTTTGAAGCTCTCCCATATACTAAATGAAGTAGGTCTTCTGGTTAACCTTAGTCTTTTTTGGATAACTAAATACTAAAATATATTTCTTTTTCTATATACATATGTGTTTCATTCAAAATATTTGGACACACTATACAGGGTGGCGCACCTCTTTCGCCTCAGTTGATTACACGAAAACGGAAAGATGTAGAAACAAAATATTTTATGGGTATATGTGGGGAGGCAATGTGTACAATTTAAAACTATTTTAAAATATATAGGGTGTTTCAGAACTAAGATCCATGCCAAAGTTATATTTTTCTTATGGGACACATGGTATTTTCAAGGTGTATGTAGCACTAAACTGTATTACTGGTTGCATGACTGCATTACTGCTACATAACCGCATCGTGTATTGAGGAACCTGGCGAATTCGCCAGAAAGTAAAAGGAAATTACAGAATTCTTTAGAACGTTCCAGAAACACTCGCCAGGGGGTATATAAAGGCCCGCGCTTTGGCAGTTAGCAGTCGGAAGTTTGATAATACCGCGTTTTAAATTGTGAATTAATTGGCGAAGGTGCCAGCATCGTTAGAGTAATAGTAGTTGCATAAATTGTGTTGTTAATAGTATAAGTTGTGTGTACAGAGTGAGAAAAAATAAATTCGTTAAGTATTTTATCGTGAGTTTAAATTAGTGGACCCACGGAATCCGTAACAGTATTTTTTTTTTGGATTCTTGGGCCAAAAAAGGTATTTATTATAAGGGTTAATATGTTTAAAATCTTTGGTTTTTGAGATATTTAAGTATGCATGCAATAGAATAGATTATCAACGCCATGTACATACATTACTTTTCAGAATTAATTTTTGTGCTGAATTTAGAAGTAGAGAAATAGACTTTACTGAAAAATTTTATTGCTTCCTTAAATTTATAGGGGGGTACTGGTACCAAAAATTGCTGATCTATTTTAAACATTTGTTTTACATAACAACTTTGTTATTTCAAATGCAACACCCCGTATTTTTTCATATAAATCGAAGTAGATTTAAATGCCCTTTCAAACTATATTAGAATTTCCTATACCTATCTAGCTCAGATTTTGAATGAAAAGCGATTTTTCAATAAAATGTCAATCAAGATGGCTGGTATCGCCATGGCAATTTTCTAGTGACAGTTAATAACTCTTTTCAAAATCGACATTAGTTTATGGACATTATTATTTAGATTTATAATAATTTACTTAAATTTACCCACAATAGTTTAATAAGTAAGTATTCATTATTTTACCAAGAAAAATAAAGCAGTATCTGCTGGCGGAATTAATGGATAACTTTCTAGTGTTTTTATTTTGTGAGGAAAATTGCTTCTTGACCTTAAGGGCTTATGCTCAAAGATATCCAAATAGCAGTCTTGCTGATAAGCGTTCCTTTGAAAAATTACTTGTCTTATTTCGCAGATCTGGTAGTGTGGTTTATAAAAAACCTATTAGGTAAAAATCTGTCTTTGGAAGTGAAGAAAACGAATTTGCTGTAATTGGCTCTTATTAATTAAACAAGTCATCGTAGAATAAACAAAAAACTACTTTTTTTCTTGATAGATAATAAATACATATTTAATAAATATTATTTATTAAATTTGGTAAGTAAATTAAATAAAAGTAAACTGGGGGGCTATAAATTTAAATAAAATCCATAAACTAATTTCGATTTTGAAAATAGCTACTAACTGTCACTAGAAACTTGCCATGACGACATCAGTTCTCGTGGTTGCCATTTTATTGAAAAATTGTTCTTTAATCAAAATTTGAGCTAGATGGGATAAGAAACCCATTAGATTGGAAAGCTCGTAAAAATTTTGGGTCGCGAAATTATTTTGGTCGCGACCGTTATACGCGATCTGGCGCTGCTATAGCGGTCGCTAAGAACAACGGCAAACAAAAACAGAAATAATTTTCTCTTGTCAAAGTCAGAATCTTCAAAATTCATAATAATCCATGGCTGGGAAACTTAAATGGAAATGACAGTTCATTAAAAATAGTTTTTCCTCCAAGATGCAGAGGCGCAAAATATTAAAACTGTGCAAATGTCAATATCTGACAATCAATATTTCAACAATGTAAATGTCAATATCTGACAATAATAAAATTTGATTTTTAACTGACACTCAGAGATGCTTTTGTTGTGATTTTACGGTTTGATTTCGTTTTGATTTGTGGAATTATTGCAAAATTAAATTCCTTCAGATTTTTTGGCAGTATTCTGTTTTAGACAATGTTTTTTAAAAATGGTGGGACAATTTGTGTTTTGTATAGACTCTTAGTTATTTTTTATCATGGAATTTAGTTGTGGTACACCGGGATTCCGAAGGATATAAAGGTAAGTAAATTAAACATATCTACTTACAGTTATAGATTTTTTAAATTAGTACTGCTAATAAATGCTACTTGCAGAGCAGTTATTTAATTTTTTTTACGGTGCATGTAAGGAATTAAGGACGCGCGTTTTATATTAGCATGATCAGCAGATGATTACATCTGATTTAATTTGTTTTTATTATTTCAGGTCCCAAACGGAAACAAACTGGGAATCTTGCCTACACCAAAATTATATACCTAGCCGTTTCCAATTCACTTCAAAGGGAGGAAAATTATGTAAAACTGCCTGCTATTTGCTGAAAACCGCCAAAGATTAAATTATAACTGTAACAACTTAATATATACTATTTCTAGTATTTTTAATATATTTTTTAATTAATATCCGACATATAAGAACACTTTGTGTGCTTTTAATTCAGTTGATTTATCGTTTATAATATGTTCTATTTATAATTAAAAGCACACAAAGTGTTCTTATATGTATGTCTAAATTTATTTTAAATTAACTAAAACAACCCCCCTTCCCCGCACCCCTCTCTTCAATTAGTATTTCTTCCTGTGTCTACCAGAGGCGCCCTTGTATAATAAAATTGAAATGTATTATAAGTTGCCTATCTTTTTAATAGTATAAAGCCGGAGTCTCATGCATCCGAAATCCGATGACACGACGATCCGACGGTGCTCCTATTGGTCGAAATATTTTGACACCAATTTTTATCCGATATTTTTAACTAATCGTCCGACGTCGTATAAAGTTAAATTTTGTTTAACTTTTGTACGATATCGTGTGTTTTTTAACCTCACTTTTTTTGAAAACATTGGTTTTTAAAATCAAGTTTAGTGGGAAGTGGGCAATTTCGGGCTATTTGGCGAGGAAGTTATTTTTATAAGTGTTTCTCCAATAATACATGGAATAATACATAATAATAATACATAGTAATTACAAGTCTAAATGTCAAAACTGTCAAATTTCGGAACGAACTTTCGGATGTATGTGACAGGCTTGTTTTATTTTACACGATAACTTCAAATTTCGGATGTCGTACCATCGGATTTCGGATGCGTGAGACTCCGGCTTAAGTCTTTTATCTATGTAATAATCTTTCAAAATCTAAACCGCTCTCATTAAAGAAATTCCGAAAAGTGTTTATAGCGTCCATTTTCAAAGTAATTATTGCTATCTTGTGAATTTAATTCAAGTTTTATTTACTCCAACCGGTGATAATTGTGAAAAAGTGGCATAAAAAACTTAAAAAGCTGTGCTGTGAACTGTGAACTGCAAAAACCATCGTGGATCGTGGCATAACGTCGGTTTCCAAAGTTTGATAGGTATTTCATACATGCGTCCTTATATAAAATAAAGTTTCTTGTATGCAACACACTGTGTTTTATTTATAAAATTAAACGAAAATAATAATAAATTTGAATAAACAATATTTGGCGATATAAATCCGGAAAAAGCCGAACAGCTCCGAAATTTTCATAAATTTTTCCCGTCGCGACCGTTGCAAGAATAGCGCCAAATAGTGTTTACATTGTCCTTATGGGCACTTTCCAATCTAAACTCGTTTCATTTATCTATGAAGAAACCCTATTATAGTTTGAAAGAGCATTCTGCTTCGATTTATTTTAGAAAATACAGGGCGTTATATTTGAAATAACGAAGTTTTTATGTAAAATAGACCAGGAATTTTTGATACTCCTCTATACATTAAACGAAACAATCAAAATTTTCAGTAAAGTTTATTCCTCTATCTTAAAAGTCAAAACAAGGATTAATTCTGAAAAGGAATGTACAGGGTGGGTCAAATTCGACGCTTTTAAATGGAAACACCCTTTTCTATAGGAGATAGGCAAAAACTAATATCGGTGTCTGGAGCTCAATTTTTGTCAAAAACATGATGGTGAAAACCGCATATCGATATCTGTTACCGTTTCGGAGTTACGGGGTGTTTTTCAAAAATATGCATTTTTAACAAATTGCTGTAACTTTTTTGCTATGGAAAATTTTGTATTTTTATGAATACATTCCCAAAGCATCTTTTTACGTAGAATTTAATGGTTTAAGTATAATTTTTTTAAAATTAATAATTTAAGAATTATCAACAGAAAATTTGATTTTTTATATGGGACACCCTGTATATTTTTAATTTATTGAAAAGAATTTAAAATTACCTTTCCAAAAATATAACACACTTGATATTTTGCTCGATTCTTCTTCGAGATATAGAGTATATAAAAATTCACCCGCTTTAAATAAGTAGGCTTTGAACGGCTCCGGCTGTAATACAAACAAATTCTATCTGTGAGCATCAATTAAAACGAAAATAATATTTGCTATGAGAGATGCAGAATTTTATAACAATTTAAAATATATTTAGCCAACATCAACACATTTAAACTATGTCTAATAACAATAAAAATAAATAGCAAATCAACACATGAGATTTTGCTACAGGTGTTCGACATATCTACCGTCTTCTGTTATGGACAGACGGGGCAGTTTTTGAACATTTCTCGCGGAATTCATTAACTCAGTGGGGGTGAAAGATACCCTCTCATAACTGCTAAATATTTCTAATTCTTGTCTGGATTATACGGAAGAATAAGGAGCCTTATTCGTCCGCAAATATATCCATAGGATTAAATCCATGGGCACTAAGTCAGGCGACCTCGACGGCCAACGTTACTGGCTGGGATGTTGGTTAGGTATTCACTTATTCTTAAAATTGGCTGCATAAATTTGCTGATAAATTCAGCGTTCAGAGGTGGTGCGCCGTCTTGCTGGAAAAATATGTTTTCGAGTTCCATTAAGGAAATATCATCCATAAAGGGTCCAAAGCCTACTAGTTAAAAGTGGCGAACTTTTAAAAATTCTGTATTTCGAAGGAGATTATAACAAAATATCAAGTATGCTATATTTTTACACACTAACTGGACCAGAACCGTTCTGCTTTCCAAGTGGTAACCAACTCAAGGCGGAACTCAAGAACTTGGAAGATTCCATCCGCAACCTGGAATGGAAATCTTGCAATGGTCTAAGACACTCGAAGAAGTTTCTGAGGGCTTATGATCAAGAAAAATCACAGATCTTCCTGGGTCTGAGTAAGAACAATCTTCGGATTGTCACGGGGTTTTTAACAGGACACTGTCTCCTCAATGAACACCTCAGTAGATTGAAACTAAGAAGAAACGGCGAATGCAGATTCTGTGGGGAAGATGGTGAAACACCAGTACACCTCATCACTGAGTGCGCCGAGACGACAACCATTCGTGCCATGAACTTTGGTACGACTGATATTGGAGATGGAGAACTACCCTCTATAAAACCGTCCCAGATACTGGCTTTTGTCAAAGCCCTGGGACTGTATGATGAGTTATGATTCAAGAAAGGGGGACACAAAACCCCCCTCCCACTCATTCTAAATTCTAAATTTTAATGCTATATTTTTGGAAAGGTAATTTTAAATTCTATTCAGCTAATTAAAAATATAGAGGGTGTCCCAAATAAAAAATCAATTTTTCTGTTGATAACTCTTAAATTATTAATTTTAAAAAAATTATACTTAGACCATTAAATTCTAGGTAAATAGGTGCTTTGGAAATGTTTTCATAGAAATACAAAATTTTCCATAGCAAAAAAGTTACAGCGATTTGTTAAAAATGCACATTTTTGAAAAACACCCCGTAACTCCGAAACGGTAAGAGATATTAATTTTCGGTTTTCACCATAATGTTTTTAATGAAAATTGAGCTCCAGACACCGATATTAGTTTTCGTCTATCTCCTATAGAAAAGGGTGTTTCCATTTAAAAGCGTCGAATTTGACCCACCCTGTACAGGAGGTTCACAATTTCTTTTATTATAGCATGCATATTTAAATATCTTTAAATATATCAGAAACCAAAGCTTGTAAACATATTTAATCTTTATAATAAATGCCTTATTTGTGTCCGAGGATCCATATATAAAATAAAATACCGTGTCTTCATATGAAAAAATATATCTTTAGTGTGTATCTTAGTTCTGACATACTCTGTACATTTCAAAATAATTTTAAATTATGCACATTGCCTTCCCACATAGGTCCATTAAGTATTTTGTTTCTTCATCTTTCCGTTTTCGTATAATCAACCGAGGCGAATGAGGTCCGTCGCCCTGTATATATATTTTTTTATTTAAATTAAACTTTTAGGCCATTCACACGAGAATTACGAACATTGTCTAGAAACTGAAGACGAACTTAGATTAAAGGCTCCTATTGTCACCTCTACTAATATCCATACTCACTGCTCTACTATAGTTAATTCAGTGGTTGAATGTTGTATACTTTTGAAAGATGTAGAATTAGACCAGCACCGACAAACAGTGAGTTACATAAATTATTTTTATCTACGTCAGTGAGTTAAGAAGCTCTTAACTCGCGCATTTTGAGTGAATTAAGAGCTTCTTAACTCACGCGTTTTCATCACCGCACTCCTTGTTTAGATGACTACCAAAGAGAAAAAAATATTTTGTAAAACATTTATTTTGCACTAAATTGGAAAAATATGCTATGAGTACCTTTTCATTTCCATAGTTGTGTACTTTTTTTTCGGTGCACCATTTTTCATACTTAGAGTATGTATATTCATACTTCTGTTTCGATCTTGCTGGTAGCAGTCCAGAAATGGTTCTGAATATCTCTTCTTCAATGTCAGAGGGAATACTTTCCGAATCGCTCATTTTTTAAACTAGTAACATCAATATTATTTACTGTCATATTGACATTGCCATGCATGGTGTTATTTGAACAAAGGTATTAAGGTAATTGATTTTTAGGACAGGTATACAGGGTGCAACAAATTCGAGGTACGAGCATTGGTATCTCCGTAACCGTAATAGATACGAACACGGTTAAATTGGGGCAAAGTTGCGTATTAGGATGTTCACCAAGATGTCATCAAAAAAGTTTTAAAAATTACAAGGATTGTTGAGTTTTTTGGAAAAAAACTGATTTTTTCGAAAATCCATTTTATTTTTTCCTGTCGTTAATTTAAATTAGCTAATAATTTGTGGGATACAGAAGCCAACTTTGGTTGGCCTCTGTATGCCACAAATTTTTAGCTAATTTGAAAATCTAAAAATACTACCAGATAGTCCTAATAAAGTGGCTATGAGAATGTGCAATGCGTTTTTTGATTTTCTAAAAAGTAACAACAAGAAAAAATTAAATTAATTTTCAACAAAATCAGTTTTTTCCAAAAAACTCAGCAATCCTTATAATTTTTAAAACTTTTTTGATGGCATCTTGGTGAACATCCCAAAGTGGCAACTTTATCCCAATTTAACCATGTTCGTATCTATTACAGTTACCGAGATACCAATACTCGTACCTCGAATTTGTAGCACCCTGTATATTTAAGTAGAATAATTTTTAAAATTCATTGTGTGTTGTTATAGTTTGACGTAGATAAAATATTGTACAATACACGTGAGTTAACTTCATTAAAATACTTGTGTGGTTACACAACTCGTGCTACGCACTCGTGCAACTTCCACACGCGTATCTTAATGATGTTTTTAACTCACTTGTATCGTAAATATCTATTTATTACGTTATTATGTATAGTATAATTAGTGTATACCTAGTAATAATATTAATATTTTGATTTATAGGTATTAAAGTGTTTTTGGAAATCACTACTTAATATAATTTCCCAAACTAAGGGTGAAAACCAGAAAAAAATTGTTGATGCATTATATAAATCCTTGGAGAAATTATTAAAGGTAGATTCAACTTATTTATCATGCATTTTTTATTGACAATTTCAATTTTAGGGAAATGATCCATACTGCAACAGTATTGCTGCAATTATTTTTAAGTGTACCATTGATCTCAATCAAGATGATGCATTTCCAATCATTTTATCCAATCTAAGTCACTTTTTAAATATAATATTTAGTGTTCCTTTAGGCACAGATGGGTTAGTATCTAAGTTATTTATTAAAATACTAGCGTGTACCCACGACTTCGTTCGCGTCGAATTAATCATTTGTAATGGTGATGATAAAGCAAAGCAAGAATTTCCATTAACATACAAACTGGATAAAATTTTCTCACATTTATGTCAGCATGAGAAAAAACAATAGGGCGATATTATTATATAACTTGGTAATATTTGAGGGGTAGTAGGGGTATCTCGTTGGAATTTGACATTCGAAAATCCGTTTGCCAAAAATAAGCTTTTTACGTCAAGCAGTTTAATTAGAATCGTGGTTAATCAATTACCCAACTTTTTGGAACACCCTGTAGTATTTTTTAAAAAATTACAAAATATGTAAAAAAAAACAAAATAAATTATGCGTGTCCAAGCGTTTTCCCGAAAGACTAACCGTTTTTTAAATCACTCTACACCCTAAAGTCAATCTGTTTTCCAAAAATCAGCTTTTTACGTCAAGAGCTTTAAGCAGGATCGTGATTAATCGATGACCAGATTTTTCGAAACACCCTGTATACATTTTTAAAAAATCTTAAAATATGTAAAAAACAAAATAAAATATACGTGTTTAAGCGTTTTTTCGGAAACTTGACCGTTTTTTATATAAAAAATATTGTAATATTTGAAGGGTGGTTCCACCCCCTTGAACTTGAATTTCGAAAAATCCCTTCTTATCGAACCTCTACACCCTAGAATCAACCTGTATGCCAAAATTGAGCTTCTTAGTCCACCTAAAAACACAAAAATATTGATATTTTAATATAAATTTTGTGAACTTGAATCAAATTATTTATTAAATTTTTATTTTATGCGTATAGAAATATTTGTTACACGTAAAGAACTATTTTTTACGTGTAAAAAATTATTTGTTATACATTAGAAACTATTTGTTACACGTAAAAAAACTGTTTGTTATATGTAAAAAACTATTTCATACATATAAAAAAATATATTTTTTTAATTTATTACTTTTTTAACATTTCAAACTACACTTTTTCAAACATGTCCGTCAAATCCTTCAATTTAATAGCTGTTAGTAAGAAGTTTCATTTCAAATATAATTATTATTTTCAGGTTATTCAAAGTGGAAAAGTTGATAGCACTGTTAGATGCTACAGAATCCAAAGAGAATAAAGACATTATTTCAAGCTGTGTTTACCAAAGTTTTTCGAAGTTTAAAACTTCAGAGTGTAATGTTGACTATGTGGCTCTTGTGTGGATAAAATGGGCCAGTATGTTAGAGGATAACGATAAATTAAAATTACAGGATTTTGCTATATGGCCAGCCTTACATAGACATCAAATAACGGATTCTGTAAGTTGTTTTCTGTTTTATTTAAAAATCTTCATCATCATTTTCAGCTTATTCAACCATTTTCAATAATGGTGTAGCCTCTCTTACATATTTAGATATTCTCTTTGTATTTGGGCCCATTGTTGTCTGTTGTTGACTATGCATATCCAAGTTATCCCTGCTAATTTCCTAATATCATGGTCCCATCTCCGGCTTGGTTAGGTTAGGTCTTAGGTCTTCTTCTTTTTTTTTCGAAGAGGAGGGAAAAAATCTTCCATAAGACACCCATAGTTGGGTAGTGCCGGATTCCTACCGGCTAAAAAAACCCTCCTCGTTCAAGTAAGCACACCACGCCGGAACCGCTTACGGCATTACTTCGACGTGGGGGGCTGCCTACGCCATGTGGCGTTGTTTCTCTTCTTTTTTACTTAGTATATTATTTATGCATTTGTTTACTGTTTCCCATAATAATTCACCTTCCTCAAGGCTTCTCATCAAGTTCGGTTCAGTGAAAACTAGTCCACTCTCCTTCTTAAAATTATCTCTCTCATGTTCAACATCGTCTATTTTACCACAAAATAAACAGGACTCAGAGCTTGCCCGGCGTATCTTATAGAGGTATTTTCGGAAGCACCCGTGTCCAGACAGCATTTGTGTCAGGTGGTATCCCACTTCATCATATGGTCTGTCAATCCATTTTTCGATGTTGGGTATAAGTCTCCAGGTTCATCTTCCATACTTTCCTTTATCCCACTGATCCTGCCACTTCTCCATCACAGTTTTCCTGGCTATTTGTTTGAGCTCTCCCTTGTATCTATCCGCTCGTTCATGAGTTAATAAGTGGATAGGAGAGATGCCCGCAATGACACCAACTGCCTCAGTAGATACAGTTCTGTAAGCACTACAAACTCTAATACATAATTTGCGCTGCAGATCTGTTATCTTTCGCTTTGTTTTGATTTTGTCCATTGCCTTACACCATACCGGAGCTGCATATAACAATGTATTACGCTAACAAGAATTCTACGCTTTGATGACCTAGGGCCCCCTATGTTCGGTATTAGTTTTGATAATGCAGTTAGAGTTTTTTCCGCTTTAGTGATTGTCTGGGTAACATGTTCACAGAATGTTGTTTTACTATCTAACCAGACTCCGAGGTATTTTACAGCATTCTTAGGTATGATCAATGTTCCCTCAACATCAAAAAGGATTGGCGCCAGTTTTCGTTTGGTGGTTAGAATTACGGCCTCTGTCTTTTGTGGTGCTAGCTGTAGATCCTTTTGTGCCATCCATTTAGAAATTCTCAAGAGGCCGGTGTTAGCTTTATTCATAAGTATTTCTTCGCTATCAGCAATCACTACCATGGTCTTCTTCTAGGTCTCTAGAAGCTCTTCTTCTAGGTCTCCTAATTTCTATCGTGGGTACCATGCTGTAATTTTTGTGGCCCTTCTTGCTAGGTGTCCTGCTCATTGCCACTTGAGGGATTTGATTCTGTAGATGACATCTATTACCTGGGTCTTTTATCGTCTAATCCACTAAAAATAAAAATAAAAAAGTAAATATTTTGATATCTCTAACTGGTATTAAAATTTATTATTCAAGCTAATAAAACTTTTTAGATGGGTTCAACTACGGTAGCGAGCATAGTTTTACTAAAAAATGTCTATACCTATGTGGCGGATTCATTTCTCCTAAAAATCCTATACTAATAGTACGAGAGCTAGCAACGTCGGAAAAACAAGTAGGTATTTTAAGACTTTGGTATATCTTTTACTATGCTCTCTAGAACAGCATGCGGCCCGTCTGGCTGTTGATAAACATTGCGTTCCCTACTGCGCATTGAAAGAAGATCCTATGTTTTTATTAGTCCTTTAAATTCTAGTATTGAATATAAATCGAACATGTCTCCATAGCGCAGTGCGTAGAGTTTCCGACCACGAACCGATGATTCAGAGTTCGAATCCGGGTCGGGACAAAGACTTTTTTATTTTATTTTCGTTTATATTCTGATAGTAAAGTTACTAAATATTTGTTTTTATTTAATTATCAGAATTATTTAGTACTTTACAATCAGAATATAGACGAAAATAAAATAAAAAAGTCTTTTGACCTGACCCGGATTCGAACTCTGAATCATCGGTTCGTGGTCGGAAACTCTACGCACTGCGCTATAGAGACATGTTCGATTTATATTCAATACTAGAATATATCTTCTTCCGATGCACAGTAGTGAACGCAAAGGGTATCGACAGCCAGACGGGCCGCATGCTGTTCCAGAGAGCATAGTAAAAGACAAAGTAAAAGATATATCAAAGAGCCAGACGTCTTAAAATACTTTCTCGAAAACGTTGCTAGCTCTTAGACTATAAGGACTGGCAAAAGTTAGTCTTGGGTCGAGATTTCCGTATGTAAGAAGAACACAATGCGTTTTATCATGTACTGAACAAAGAGGGAACAGTAAACACGTTGCCAAACGTATGAAATAAACCGAGAAACTGTGCACATTGCTAAGAGACGTGGAAGGGGATATATTAGATTTGTCGCAGTCGACCGGTTGAACCAATCAGTACCTCTGTCAGTACTTAAACTTCTACGGAAAGCAGGCATCATGCGTTCAGCTTCACGATTTAATTTCGTCTCGTGACACTTTATTTGTTTATTTATTAACTAGTCGTTGTAATTTCCTTATAGCTTAACCATTTTTAAGTGCAAGTTAGAAATACTTGCATTTTTGGTAAAAATAAGTGGAATTGAGTTGCTATTATTATATATTCGCTATTAGAACTCTGAATTGAAAAATCGATGTCTCGAAATCTATTAGAAATAATTGATTGTAGTTTTTCAAAAACTTTCTTAGAAGGCAGTATGCCAAAATCTTTTTAAATAAAAAAGTTACACGATTTCTGAAAACTGCTATGCACTAAAAGTAAATGGATGGTTTTTTTAAAATTTTAGATTGGAAAAAACAACCTTATCGAATTTTTCTTATATAAACATATTGTAAATGATCCGATCTTCAAAATAATCAATAAAATAATAATAATCATTCAATATCTAAAGTAGTTCTTAAGTTATGGCGTGTTATGTGTAAAAAAGTTGAGTTTTTAAATTATCGCGACGTTTTCTCGTTATAAAAAAATGAACACCTTAACGATATCCTTATAATTCCATTTCAGATGCTCAGAAACATATTTAATGATTTTATCTAGTTACCTTTTCGAAAAAAAGTCTTAAAGATAAGCGGTTTGCGAATGTGATTTTACTTTACTTCATAGGGAAAGGCGTACCGGCAACAACGCAACAGCACACCGTCGCATTTCTCTCACTCCGACTTAATAACATCCCTATGCGATTTACTTCCACCCATGTAAATACTGACCCAAAACTCAAAAGTAACAAGATGCCAGCACGGTATGGGTATTTCGCCACTGCAAGAAAATCTACAAAATAAAATAGTTATTTTTTGTAAACACTTCTGCGTTAATCCCAAACGGAAACTATTTGTCAGAAGTTAGGTTTACAGATATACAAATTTGCCTAACGAAAAAAAATGCTTAACTTTCGGAAAGATTCTCTTTCCGTCGTCGGAAGTTTTACTCACCGTCCACCAAAGTTTTAAAGCGTCGGTATTCCAGTGCCGGACAGTGGTACAGCAGATTCTCTATGGTTTCTTCTTCCTCGCCGCATTCTCTGCAGTAGTCATCGTTGGAAATCTTCCCTCTCACGAGGTTTACCCCCGTGGGGCAGTTTCCGGTGATGTCACCTACAATTATGCGTACTAGGTTCTTTTTGTGCTCTAGTAGTTGTTTGTCTTTCTGCTAACTACCACTGGCCACAGTCTTCGAGCTGTAGCGCAGTCCTCACGGTGTTAGTAGTTTCTATAGCTTCCTTCAGTATGTTGATCGTCACAAGTGGTGGGTCATCTTTGTTGCAACTGAACTGCTTGAAGCCATTTTGCTTTTGATCAAATCGGTGTGAGAAGTTTGACTCACAGTTGTGGAGAGTTGTCTGTCTGGAGAGTTGAATATCCGAAAAAGATCAGTTATTGAATGTTATTGCACCCAACAATCACGTACTTACGCCTTGCTTTACGCCTTTACATTTTTTGGTAATTTTATCAACATTTGAAATTGTTACAACAAAACGCGACGCTCAGTTTGCTTAGTTTTTACTATCCGAAACAGCGGTACATAACACAAACCTCGTACCTGAGTACTGAGTATTTTTATACCTTCAATAACTACACTAGTAAAAACTCTGATGAAAACTGAACTTAAAAACTCAAACTTTTTAAATTTTAGTAAAATTTTTATTTTAATTTTAGGAGAAAGAAGCCTTACTGCTTAGCAGTTGTAGCATAGTATATAATTATGTGGAAAAAAATCGAGAACTTTATATAAACATATTAAAGGGTTTCGAAAAAGTTTTAAAGAATAACCCTCTTCTGTTAGACAACATTCTTAGTTTATTTCCTATACTTCCAGTCAACACAACTGATGAGGGCATAAGTAAGTCTATTTCAGTAAATGAAAGCAATTTATTTAATTTTATTTTCTTTTTAGCCAACGTCTCGCTAGATTTGCTCACGTTTATTATAAATACTCCATTCAGTGAAACTGATGATAAATGCGTTGTTGTAGAATCCTTCTTGAAATCTTGCTACAATAAGAATTTAAACAAATTGCAAGATTATGACGCAATAAAAAAATTATGCGGATGTGTAGAGTACGTTCTTAAATCCAAAAGATATGCTATTCTAGGCGATTTAAAAAAAGCATTAAAAAACATGCCCGATAACGTCAAATCGATTCATGCAAAACATGTATCTGTGGATTTCTTAGTTAATTTACTTGAAAGCGAGAAGAATGTGAAGAATACAACAAAAATACATTCTGTTATCGAGATATTGAGGAATGTTTCAGACGTTTCGAAGGATAAAATGTCGTTTATACCCCCGGGCGGTAGGTCGGCGAAAATAGCCGGTTTAGTAAAGGAGATGTCGTTGAAACATTTTGGCAAGGACGTCGAAACAAAGTCGCCTGTAAATGTTAAGGGCAGTTACCTTAAAGATTCGCCTAGTCCCTCTGTTATGAAACCGCCAGCGACTGTACCGGAAAAGAAACCAAAAACGACTATCTCTATAGACGACGAGAGTAACAGCAAGTTTGTCCTGATCGATTCCGAAGTGAAAATCAAACCTAACGAGATGACCGAGCACCAGAAAGAAACACTGAAAAAACGTCGTGAAGATATACCGGCCTTGTATCAAGATTTATCCCAAAGTTTGACTCAAACCTTCGATTCTACCTCCGACTGTAGCAAGTCGAATAACGTAGTAATAAAGAAAGAGACCAAAGAGGACGATAGTACTGAGACAATTTTGAAAGAAGGTACAACTAATGATTTTACGAACAAATTCCCTATTACAGAAAAACCAGAAGACGTGAAAAAAGAGAATACGCCGTTGTGTTTGAAAAATCTAGTGATGAATATTGTTGGTGCGGACGAGTTTAGTTCTCTCCCTGCGAAGAGGAAAAGAAAAGAAAAGGAGTCAAACAATCAGGAACAAGATAAAACCACTACCGAGGAAAGTCTTGAAGAAAAACCCGCAGTCGCAGAGTCTACCAAAGAAATACCTTTAAGTAAGCCTGAAGAACCCGACTTAGCGAAAACACCTCTTGTACAGACTCCAAATAAAGTAGCGGAAACGCCTAAACGAAGAGGTCGCCCCCCTCGAAGACAGAGTTCAGGCGAGACTTCTTCAGTAGAACGAGAAGAAGGAAAACATATCGAAGACGGTCTTGAAGAAGGACTTAAAGAAACTTTTACGCAACCCGAAACAACTGAAGCGAAAGTACCGGCCAAGAGAAAGAGAGGTCGGCCTGCGCAAGCCAAACTGGAAAGTCCTAAAATCGAGTCTGATGTGTCTTCTTGTAATGAGGACGTTGTCAAAGAGGAGGTAAAAGACGAGTTAAAAATTGTGCTCAACATGAATCCGATAGAGATCAAAAGAAGTCCGAGGAGGCCTGCCGGTACGCCAAAATCGAAAACGAATACGCCCAGTAGCGCTCCTCTTAGAAAGTCGACCAGGAAAAGCATTCCGACACCTAAACTGACAGAATTTTATAAAGAAACTAGTGAACAAAATCGGCTGGATTCGGAAACATCGGACAGTACTTTGGCAAAAGATAACACCAACTTAGAAACTTCCAAGGAAACTCCGAAAAGTGATAAAGTTGATCAGAAGAAAAAACGACCTAGAAAACCTCGTTCGTCACAATTCGAAAACGAGGTGACAGGAAATTTAACCAATAACAAAAAAGGGAAGAAGCGTAAAAGAGAAAGTAGCGAGTCGGACGATTTAATTGAAAGTTCCCAGGATTCCTCTACTAATATTACAGTTAGAAAAAAATCGTTTACCAAAAATAAGAGCGACAATTTGCAAATAACACTGGACAGTTTTATATCGCCCGCCAAAAACACCGATACAAGCAAGTTAGTTTTGAAAGAAGACGGTATTCCACAAGAGGGCGTAGTAAATGCAATCCCAGAAGACCATGAAGCTGCAAAAGAAACAGTAGTACCCGATCCGAGCGCTAGCGAAGACCTTTTTATACATTTGGAGAAGTCTCAGAATACAGAGCCCAAAAAAAGACCTCGCCGTAAACGAAAATCTAGCAAAGCAGCTCGTACGCCTGTCTCAAAAGAATCTACTACAGAAACGTCGCATGAGGAACACTTTAAAACCAGTCCCAAATCCGAAAAAGAAGAGGAAACTGTACCTGTTTTAGATACAGAGTGTTTTGTTGAATTAGACAGCATATCTATTCCGATTCAGTCTCTCCAAAACGACACTATTAAAAGAACGCAAAGTCAGGAGACTGAAACTCAAGGTACCGAATCTGTGGGTGTTCTAAGCGAAAACATCGAACTTCAACTGGATGTTCCCAAAAATCCCGACCTGACGGAGAAGGATAAGGAAATGGCCGAAATGGAGACTGCCTCCATGCCTCTGGACAGTTCCAATGATGAAACCAAGGTGGCCAATGTTACGGCGATCGAAAGGGTGGTTGAGGAAAACGTCTCAGTGTCTAGACTCGATAATACAACGGTTGTTAATAATCAAACGGAGGAAACATTGCATAATAGTTCCGTTGTTCACAATGATATGGATACTATTCCAGAAACAGAGATTGTATGTCACTCAGAATCAGAGATTGTATGTAATTCTGAACCAGAGACTGTATGTAATCCTGAATCAGAGGCTGTATGTAAGTTTGAACCGAAGGCTGTATGTAACTCTGTACCGGAATCTGTATGTGACTCTGAACCAGAGGTTATATGTAACTCTGAACCAGAGGGTGTTTGTAACTCCGAAGCAGCTGTTACCTCAGAGCATGATGAAACTAATCTGGGATCTCCCGATCGATCGATAGGTAAGTTTTGATATATTTTTTAAGTATATTAACATATTTTTTTAAGATAACAGTGCATGTAATAAGAAAAAGGGCGTCTAAAGTCAGTCATATTGAAATCCATTTGCGGTCTCTTCAATTTTGTTTATATCATCAACTATCTGAATTGTCAGGCTCACTAAAGTAGTCGGTATTAACTGATTGGCTGTTACTGAATGAATAATAAACGTGAAAACAGTTTTCCGCGAAAATGATCAGTACATATGTACAGCGTGTCCCATTTTGGTTGAAATCATACGGTATCTCCGTTATTAGTAAAGATAGGAGTATACGGTTTGCACAAACCCGCGTAAATTTTTTATCAAACGGAAGATGCTGTAAAACAAAATTTTTATCGCCCTCTTCGTTTCTGTGCTACAGGGTCTTTTTGAAAATTTTGCAATTTGGGACAGCTCCAGTATCTCCGTTATTATGGATAATAACGAGAAGGTGAAAACTGATTCTTGTAGAACTTTTTACTTAGAATACAGTGGTGTAGTCTGTTTTTCTACGAAAAAAATATTATTGGAAATATGAACTTATGTTATGTTTTTTTTAAATGGTAGACACCCTGTATATTTATAACTCATATGATCCGTCTTGCTATGAGCTTCTCAAAAATATATATATCACTCTATATTTATTTTCACTATTTACTGCAATACTGCAATATTTAAAGTCTATCATTTTCTTAGTAGGCCGTGATTAATAATAAAAAAAATAATGTTAATAGCACATACAGGGTGGCCCATCGAAAACGTTCCGCAAGGCATAACGGCTAGGGTATTTTTTTTTTCAAAAAATCCAAAAACAGTCAATTTTGTTTGTGAGGGGGACAACTTTTGCCCCAAAAATGATTGCAAAATCTTCAATCCTCTTAGCGGGGCTGTCTTCCCCCAACAGTCTTCCCCCAACATTTTTCAAATGGGAAGGGGGATCAAGTGGCGCAATGAAAAGAGCTTTCTATTCTCTATATTTCCTCGCTTCGCTTTTGAAAATCGGTCGAGTCATTGAGAAAATATGAAGGATTGAAATTTGAAAAGTTTATTTAAGCATTTATCAGAGTAAATGATAAGGATAAATTCCTTCGACCAATTTGCTGTTTTTTGTTATTATTTCTAGATGTTTACGCATTTTTTCACTTGTCACAAGGTTGAACGATCATGTGCGGTAGTTGCTAGATAGCTGTTCTGTGACTTGTGCGTTGAAGTTGTTCTCAATATCGTTAAACTGACCTACAATAGAATTTCTAAAAATACCAGCCCACACGTTCAATTTCTGAGGGTTTTGTGTGTGCACCTCGTGAAAAACGCTGGGGTTGTCTTCAGCCCAGTACCCACAGTTGTGCCGATTAACTACACCGTTCAAAAAAAAATGTACACTCATGCGAAAAACACACATTAAATAGGAAATTATTATCATTCGCCGCTCGTTCACTCTTAGTTTCACAAAATTGCAAGCGATGATCAAAATCGTCTTCGTTGAGTTCTTGTACCAACTGAATTTTGTACGGGTGGAACTTGTGGTGGAACTAATATCCTTTGGACACTTGTACGATTCACGCCGGTCTCATTGGCTAATTTTCTTGTACTGAGCGTAATATCCATGGCAACTTGGCCCAATACGAATACCTCCATAGCTTCATTTATTACCGGATTTTCCCTGTGCCTCTTTTTATTCATAACGCAACCAGTTTCGCGAAATTTTGCTACTAACTAGCGAACAATTTTGCCATAAAGGTGTTTGTCAGGATGGTATTCATTGAATATCTGCGCAACCCGATACATTCATTATTTTTAAAATAAAGTTCGATTATTTCCACTTTTTATGCAAGTGAGTACACCATAATTTTTAAAAAGTTTAACGATATTGAGAAGAACTTTAACGCACAAGTCACAGAATAGCTATCTAGCAACTACCGCACCTGATCGTTCAACCTTGTGGCAAGTGAAAAAATGCGTAAACATCTAGAAATAATAAGAAAAAACAGCAAATTGGTCGAAGGAATTTATCCTTATCATTTACTCTGATAAATGTTTAAATAAACTTTTCAAATTTTAATCCTTCATATTTTCTCAATGACAATGAAAGTATAGAGAATAGATATAGCCCCTTTCATTGCGGTAACACTTGACCCCCTTTCCCATTTGATAAAAATTGGGGGATGACACCCCCGCTTAGAGGGATGAATATTTTTCAATCATTTTTGGCGAAAAAGTTGTCCCCCTCATAAACAAAATTGACGCGTTTTTGAATTTTCTGAAAAAAAAAATTATCCTGGCCGTTATGCCTTGCGGAACGTTTTCGATGGGCCACCCTGTATTAAAATAACCATACTATAATAATAATCATACACATATTATATATATAAAATATTATTTGGGATTGATATATTTTACTTTTGAACTTTTACCACCGAATCTCTGAATATATTTTTCTTTTTTTATAACGGAATTTATTATAAAGGGATGAGTTTGTAAAGATCTAAATGCTTGCATTATTAAAACATTTTTCAGGTATTCGACTTTGTCGTAGTTGCCACGATATATTCCATATTTCAAAAATCCCCAAAATCAGAAATCTAGAATGGATAAATCCCGGAATCAGGGAGGCTATTACATATGTAGGTCCACTGGTTCCAATTCATTGATTTGAGAAATAATAATTTAACAAAATTCTAATATTTTTTAAAGTTGTGACGGGGAGCCCCATCTTGCTGAAAGTATATTTTACGTAAATTAGCTAAACGCATACCTATCTAAATGTTCCGGTACGATAGTTTTAAAAATTTACAAACAGCGGTAGAGAGTTAAGTTTCCATAATATATAAAGAATTAATAAACCAAAATAAAACAAGAGACAGATAACAATATAATTTTAATAATTCTTTAGTTTCTTCGAGAGTTAGGTTAGGTATAATAAATATGATCTTTTAATACATTTTTCTTAAATATTGCAGTAAATAGTGAAAATAAATATAGAGTGATATATATTTTTGAGAATTTTAAAGCAAGGCAGATCATATAATTTATAAATATACAGGGTGTTCCATTTAGGAAAACATAACTTTAGTTCATATCTTTAAAAATATTTTTTTAGTAAAAAAACAGACTACACCACTGTATTCTACGTAAAAAGTTCTACAAGAGTCAATTTTCATCTTGATATCATCCATAATAACAGAGATACAGGTGGTGTCCCAAATTGCAAAATTTTCAAAAAGACCCGGTAGCTCAGAAACGAAGAGGGTTATGAAAATTTTGTTTATGGCATCTTCCGTTTGACAAAAAAGTGGGACAGCTTTGTGCAAACCGCACCCTTCTATCTTCACGAATAACGGAGATACCATATGATTTCAACTAAAATGGGACACCCTGTATATACTTTCAGTCAAAGTGAAAGCAAGTTCTACACTTGTTCATTTTGACTAAATAATACAAACTGAATTGTTGGAAGTTTCTTCAAACTTTAAGTAACACTGAATCAGTCAGACTGCTTTAATGGGAACCCGCCTTACTTCAGGTATTTGGACTGTTGTTTTCATTGTCGCTGTCTTCTTATTGGTTCATGCACGTTTCTTATATTTTAGCATCAAGCGGCACGAATATTCCCTCATCTCCTGTAACAGGAGACACGCCCAATCGCAATTCCGAACTACTCAATAACACCTTAGATATATCTCCCATATCGCAGAAAAATAGCCCGGAAAACGGTAGCTGCGACGACGGGGAAATCGAGGAAACGCAACCGAAAATCGTACCGGTAGCCTTGAAGTTCGATCACGAAGATCACGAGAACGATGGCAAAGAAAAATCTCCGGAAAAGGGAGACGACGCGCCCGAGAAAATCGTCCAAACGCACATGGAAAATCAGGATGCGATTAAAGCGGACCAGCCGACAACTAGCAGGGACAATATAGCCGAGAGATCTAATAAATTTTTAACTGCTCTGAACGGGTCGTCCAGGTAAAAATACATTTAGGTTAAGTTAGATTGCTGGGGTTTGGGATCTTGTCTGATCCCTCACTCTGAGGACTAGTCATGGCCGGAACAGCGATTTTTTAATAACAGGTACAAGTTGTTCCAGTTGCAAAAGATACCTGTTCCAAGAAACCTGTTCCAGTTCCAAACTGTTCCAAAACGAAAATTAATACCGTACTTGCGTCATTCTGATTCGGTTGCTATTTTTCTTTTTAAATTTATATAAAAGAATATTTTTTGCTTAAATAATTAGAACTACTGGGGATTTTTCTGTTTTCTCTAAATTTAATCTACTGTCTATGTTGCTATATTACCAAGATATCGTATGATCGAATAAAAACGGCGTCAGCGATGGCTATGAAATGAAGATCGCTGTCATTTATATGTAAAATTATATGGGAAATGTCGTCGATCGTTATTTCCAAGCCAACTGGACGCCGTTTTTTTTCTATCATACGGTATAATGTTTTTTAACTAAAAATTAAAAAACGACTATCAAATTTTCGAAAAATATAAACTTTTCAAAAACATGCTTTCCCGAAAAAAACTCATGAGAATCGAAATATATACAACCCCTAAAAATATGTGCACTTATTTAAGACCCACCCTGTATAAGCACTAATGAATAAATATAGATTTATAATTTTGTGATATACTTAAAAAGTAAATTTTTGGAAGAGTTTTTTTTAATATCTACTATATTTATAATACAAAACAATAACCGACTGTTCTTACACTGTATTTTTCAAAAAAAAACTAATGCGATAATTATATTGCAGTTGCCAACATCGCCAGCATTTTTTTATAATAAAAAATGTTCCTTACTGTTTCTGTTTACATTAAAAAAATAAAATATTAAAAAAAAATTATTATAAATTTAAAATTTATAATAAGAATTTAGTTGAGTTTTAATTAAATATTTTAAATAGCGGCAACAGCCACACTTGTTTTTTACGCCCCTGTATCCCGACAATAACAGATAACACCTGAACGCGTCCGCTAGACTTGGCTAGACTAGCGAAACCGATATACGACATCGATTATCAACTCAAACCAGTTCTTTTTACTTAACTGTTTCAAACAGTTCCTAACTGTTCCAAGCCCTAAACTGTTCCAGGTCGCAAACTGTTCCAAGTCTCAAACTGTTCCAAGTCCCACTGTTCAGGTTAGGACTTGAAACAGTTTAGGGCTTGGAACAGTTTAGCACTTGGAACAGTTAGGGACTTGGAACTGTTTGGGTCTTGGAACAGTTTGGGACTTGGAACAGTTAAGTAAAGAGAACTAGTTTCAGTTGAGAAACGAGGTAGTATATCGCTTTAGCGACACGGTCGCTTGGCGTTATATTCACAGGTTATATTATCGAGATTGAGTGCGAGTGCACTAATATAGTGCATAGACGTAAAAAAAAACAACGGTGACGATTTTCGCAGCGTTGCCTATATTTGATATATTTAATTAAAATTCAACTAAATTTTTATTATAAATTTTAAATAGGAAATCAATATTTAAAAATACAGAAAGAAAAGAATATCTAATATTTACTATTTTATATATGTAAAATAGTAAAATACATATAAAATAAAAACTACTTACATTCCTAGATAATAAAAACAAGCGGGTCCTTTGTCGGTATGTATACATTTCTTGCGCAGAGTTTTTTTTAATGTAAACAGAATAGGCGAAGATAATTTCTTACCATCAAAAAAACGTACTGGCGATGTTGCCAAATGCAATATAATATATAATAAAATTATTATCTAATTTTGAAAAATACACTATTAAAAATCTAGTATCACAAATATAGTAGATAACATAATTTAAACAATTCCAAGAATTAATTTTTTTAAGTATTTAATTTAAGTTGCAGTGTTTTGAAACAGCTGGAACAATTGGAACTGGAACTGGTATAGGATAGCACATAAACCTGTTCCAAGCCAGTTCCAAAACAAACCTGTTTCGAAAATAACAGATCCTGTTCCAAAGCGTCATCACTACTGAGGACTTGGACCCATTGCGATACCTGTGTATTATTGTACCAAACCTTCCTCTCCTTCTTTCTTTGCCTTAAAGCACTTCCAGCTCTTTGCATAGTTCCCGATGTCGCTGGTGTTGGCTTCTGCTGCTTCTCCTCCAAAAAAACTTGCCCTAAAGTTTTAAAGCAGTGTATCGGTAATCCAGTGCCAGACAGTGGCACAGGAGGTACTCGATGGTTTCTTCTTCCTCTCCGCTAACTAGAATTACTGCTAGAACTAAAACTAGAACTTTGCTTATGACTTACTTCTGCCTTGTCCTTTGATCCTAATTTATTTTATTTGCAAATACAGCAATTGCAAGGTTATTAAGTCGCGTCTTATCCCCTCGACCATTTTGATGTGTTTTAATAATAAGTGTTCTTATAATTACATATTTTTCCTAGGTTAATTGCTAAAAGAAAAATGTTAAAAACTATGTCACCGTCGGCATCGCGAATTAAGAAGCTTATGTCCAATGTTATGGCGAACTCGTTCGAAGAAGTTACCACGAATGTAAGTCAAGACGACATTTTAACGTTTACCCGAGAAGTTCCCAGTCCGTTAGCAGTACCCAGGAGCAGCATTTTAAAAAGGAAGCATTCAGATACGGCAGATGATGGTCTATCACCTTGTCCTAAGGTAATAACCAAACGAAAAAATGAAAAATCTCGAAATGTCCTTATGGATTAAAAGTTAGCTACCGGTAACTGCTTTGAATAAGAAGACTAAGGAAGGAGCATAATGCTATCCATGTATTCATGCATGGTGGGCGGAAAAAACACTCTAGGGTGGGGATCCTTGACAGTTCTGTTTGACGATTCATTTGACACATTTGAATTTGATTTGAAATTTTGTGGATTTGTCAGTCTTTACGGAGCTTATTTTATGTTATTTATTATTTATTCTACTACTGATAGTTGTATAAAGGTAGTAAATCTAAATGGAAATTGTAGCAGAACTTAAATTAACAGTGACACTATCGCGATTTATCGAAAAAGACTCTAAAATAGTTGGTTGTGTAGTGTGTGGTAGATCTCGGTAAAAATTGAGTGAAATAATGGAACAACTTTTCGCTAGTAAGTGACTATATAATATACATACGTGTAGTAAACTGATCATTTATGAAATTCACTTAAATTAACTAAATTATATATTTTTCTTGCATTTTAGCTTTTATTTACTACTTGTCAAAGATCAGATGTCAAAGAATTTTGATACGTTAATTTGACTTACCTGCTTCAGTAACGTATCGGATGTTTGTGTTAATAAATACTTATTATAACTTATCTATTTTTATTAGAATTATATATTTTTATAACAATTTTATTAACTACCAACATTTATTCACAACGTAAAATAAAATAACAAATTATTGAGTCTACCACACGTCTACCCTACATCATAGTTTTACATTTTTTCAATAAAATTAGAACGGCACTGTTAACCGGAATTTAAGTCGGCCATATTTGAAGCCCATCGCGGTGTACCTAAGATTTTTGATATGCTCCTTCCTTAGTCTTCTTATTCAAAGGGTAACTGGCTTTCCAGTCGAGAAAAATATAGAAAACTAGAATTAATCGGAGCGGTCTCTTTTGATTTTATTTATATATCAATGTACCAACAATAATTCAAGGATTATGAATGTTTTCTAGTCAGACTTTAACTTGTAATGAAGTCCCGATTTATTTTTTTAGTTTAATATGTTAAATGCTAGGCTTGGAACATATTTCGATCAAGGCTTGATAGCGCGGCGCCAAACTATTCTGTTAGTTTGGAAGGCCGAATTCGGGAAGACCGAGTTCGAGCAATCTCAATTTAAATGGGATTTTTTTATTCTTTTTGCAGCGCAAAAGGGTCAACTTTAGCGATCCTTGTACCACCGAAAAGAAGATCTTCATTAAAGACGACAACTCGCATTGCCTATTTACATCCACAGAAGACGACGAAGAAGATATTGACAGGCAATTTTTGGCAGTTTTAACAGCCGGTAGCGTTGAATCGCTCGAGATCGAAACCGAATCTATCCACACAGAAGAAAGTCTTCAGATTAACAATCCGCTCATATTGTGCGACGATCGACCGATTTTTGCCGATTTGATTAACTGCGACGCTGACATCAACGTCATTGCGCGCAAACTCACCGGACCCATGTTTTTGAAGGCTCTGTTGAATAAATTGAGAAACAAAGGTATCAACACTATAGGCGACTTGGCGAGGAAAAGCGAAATTGAAATTTCCAAGATGCCTTTTAAATCGCCTGGCGTGTCTAACGTATACAAGGTTTTGGAAAGGTACCACGCTAAGCACTGTAAGGAGAACGCTAAGGTGGAACAGTTGAATGTATCAGTTGTTCCAGTTGAAAATGAAGTAACGACGGTGGTTGATACCGCACAAAATGATTTGGTTAAAGCTGTCGAGAGGGTAAAATGTGAGGTGAGTTACAGAAATATTTTTTTTTTCGTTCTGAAATATTTTTATTATATTAAACAATAAAATGTGATATATTATACCAGCTTTTTTATAATGAAATAATTCTTTTTCAGTAAAATTTCAATATAATAAGAATGATTGTAAATTGGCTTGTATTAGATTTTTAAATTTTGTATACAGGGTGTCCCAGGCTGGGCGTGCATTAGAAGTTTCTAGAGAACCACAATATCTAGATCGGAGATTTTTTTCACATCATTGTTTTACAACGAGATCTATCGATTAAAAAATATTTTCAATATGGCGGCACTTCCGGAAATACCGGAAGTTGACAGCAACTTTCTTATTTTAAATGGGTGCTCCCATTTTTATTACATATTTAAATTCTCTGTACAATTCTATGAATATTGATGTTAAACACTCTATATCTAACATTAACCGTTTTTATAATAATAATAATAGCTCCCGTATATAGCGTTTAACGCCTTGGCAGTAGCAAGGTACAGCTTGCCATGCTAGAGCCGTTCGGTATACAGGTTCGGTATACAGGGAGGGTAATAAATGTGGCTAGCACTACGCTTCAACCGCCTATTTTACCCCAGAATTGTGAATCCCAAGTACTCATTTAAGGCTGAGTCCGACCTAGGTACCCAAACTATTTTTATTTTAATCAAAATAGTCGGCTGATCAAATGCCGGGTGTAGAATTCGAACCCACTACCTTGAGATTGGTAGACGAGAGCCTGTACCTCTACGCCACCGGGCACCATTTAACCGTTTTTGAGAAAAAAAAAATATTTAAAATTTTTGGACGAAAAACACTACTTGTCAAAAAAAATAGTATAGCCTAAAAGTCAAATTTAGTGACTACCACAGTTAATGTGACATAAAGAGAAGACATGTGGCTATCTATTTCAAAAGTTAAATTGTTCAAATGTCATATAATAATCGCGGTAGCTGTCATGGAATTGAGTGATTAAAAAATTATCATAAATCATTTTGTTCAAATGGAAACCCACTTTTTTATTTCACTAATGAAACGGTTTTTCAATTCGTTACTTTTTAACTATACATGTTCCTATACCTAAAATAAATCGTTTTTAAGTTATTTAAGATTGAGTTTG